CTCGTTTAAAACAAAGAAAGAGGGCATTTCAATGAACATCATCCAATGCTATGCGCCTACCAACGACTACAATGAAGACGCTAAAGATCAATTCTACAATAGGCTGCAGTCAATAGTCGAGAAGTGCCCAACAAAGGACCTGACCATTCTGATGGGAGATTTCGATGACAAGGTTGGAACGGACAACACTGGATATGGAGACATCATGGGACAACATAGACTGGGAGGAAGGAATGAAAATGGTGAGAGATTTGCAAACCTATGTGCCTTCAATAAGCTGGTCATAGGCGGCACCATATTCCCACATAAACGCATGCACAAAACCATATGGACTTCACCGGATCACTCTACACAAAACCAAATCGACCATATTTGCATCAACAAAACGTTCAGGAGGACTATAGAGGACGTGAGAACCAAGAGAGGAGCTGATATAGCATCAGATCATCACTTACTGGTCGCCAAGATGAAATTGAAACTCAAGGAGCACTGGACAACGGGACAGACAGTATCACAAAAGTTCAATACGGCCTTTCTTCAGGATACTAACAAACTCAACAAATTCAAGATAGTCCTCAGCAACAAGTTCCAGGCTTTTCATGGTCTACTCAATGGAGAAGGAACTACTGTGGAGAGCAACTGGAAGGGGATCAAAGAAGTAATCACTTCAACATGTCATGAGGTCCTGGGTCACAAGAAGCATCATCACAAGGAATGGATCACTGTTGATACACTGGATAAGATTCAAGAAAGAAGAAACAAGAAGGCAGCGATCAATACCAGCCGAACAAGAGCAGAAAAAGCCAAGGCACAAGCTGAATAGACGGAAATAAACAAACAAGTGAAGAGGAGCATCAGAACCGACAAACGTAAATATGTGGAAGATTTAGCGACGACGGCGGAAAAGGCTGCAAGAGAAGGAAACATGAAACAATTGTATGACACGACAAAGAAACTCTCTGGAAATCGCCGCAAACCAGAACGACCAGTGAAAAGCAAGGAAGGCAAGGTAATCACCAACATTGAAGAGCAACAAAACAGGTGGGTAGAACACTTCAAAGAACTCTTGAATCGACAAGCTCCGCTGAACCCGCCCGACATCGAAGCAGCACCCACGGACCTCCCAATCGATGTTGGCCCATCAACAATTGAAGAGATCAGCATGGTCATCAGACAAATCAAGAGTGGCAAGGCAGCAGGACCGGACAACATCCCAGCAGAGGCACTAAAAGCAGACGTAGCGGCAACTGCAAGGATACTACACATCCTCTTCAATAAGATTTGGGATGAGGAACAAGTACCAACAGACTGGAAAGAAGGACTACTGATCAAAATACCGAAGAAAGGCGATCTCAGCAAGTGTGATAACTACAGGGGCATCACTCTTCTCTCAATACCGGGAAAAGTCTTCAACAGGGTATTGTTAAACAGAATGAAGGACTGCGTAGACGCCCAACTTCTTGACCAACAGGCAGGATTCCGTAAGGATAGATCGTGTACAAACCAAGTCGCAACTCTACGGATCATTGTGGAGCAATCAAATGAATGGAACTCGTCAGTCTACATCAACTTCATTGACTACGAAAACGCATTTGACAGCGTGAACAGAACAACACTATGGAAGCTTCTTCGACACTACGGCGTGCCTCAGAAGATAATCAATATCATACGGAATTCCTATGATGGATTAAACTGCAAAATTGTGCATAGAGGACAGTTGACAAAGTCGTTCGAAGTGAAGACCGGTGTTAGGCAAGGTTGCTTACTCTCACCCTTTCTCTTTCTCCTGGTGATCGACTGGATCATGAAGACGTCAACGTCTGAAGGAAAGCGCGGGATACAATGGACATCTAAGATACAGTTGGATGATCTAGACTTCGCAGACGATCTGGCCCTTCTATCCCAAACGCAACAACAGATGCAGGAGAAGACGAACAGTGTGGCAGCAGCTTCAGCAGCAGTAGGTCTCAATATACACAAAGGGAAAAGCAGGATTCTCCGATACAACACAGAATGCACCAATCCAATCACAATTGACGGAGAAGATTTGGAAGATGTAAAAACCTTTACGTATTTGGGCAGCATCATTGATGAACAGGGTGGATCTGATGCAGATGTGAAGGCGCGGATCGGCAAAGCAAGAGCAGCATATTTACAACTGAAGAACATCTGGAGCTCAAAGCAACTGTCAACCAACACCAAGGTCAGGATTTTCAATACAAATGTCAAGACAGTTCTACTGTATGGGGCAGAAACCTGGAGAACTACAAAAGCCATCATCCAGAAAATACAGGTGTTTATTAACAATTGTCTATGCAAAATACTTCAGATCCATTGGCCGGACACTATTAGCAACAACGTACTGTGGGAGAGAACAAAGCAGATCCCAGTGGAGGAAGAAATCAGGAAGAAGCTCTGGAAGTGGATAGGACACACGTTGAGGAAAGCACCCAACTGCGTCACAAGACAAGCCCTCACATGGAATCCTGAAGGCCAAAGGAAAAAGAGGAAGACCAAAGAACACATTACGCCGAGAAATGGAGATAGACATGAGAAAAATGAACAAGAATTGGATGGAACTAGAAAAGAAGGCGGAGGACAGAGTGGGTTGGAGAATGCTGGTCAGCGGCCTATGCTCCATTGGGAGTAACAGGCGTAAGTAAGTAAGTAAATAATATGTATAAACAGAAAGCTAAACTAACCAAAAGATGGACTTATGTATGGTGGCTTGGTTTAGACATAATTTCTTAGGCTTCGTATATCAATCACCCTGATAACCGCTACTAAATAAATCCCAACGGTGTATGGATTCAGAGGGCAACACAAAGCGCCAACTATAGTTTATTATTGAACAGCGCAGATAAGAAAGCTACAGACATAATAATAATAATAATATAAAGAAATAGAGAAATTGTTACTACTTGAATAACGCTTTCTGTTATATAAGTTAATAAAAGGACTCGACACAATTACCCGTGAGCAAACTTAATTGTAGGAGAGATGCTATACATGTTCTATAAAGAGTTCCAATACCGACCCCTAACATAAATTCACTTTGTGTTGTTTTACTTGTATCTTCCCATTGTTATTTAGGACTGTAACTGATTAGTCTCTTGTTGGTATGTCCATCCTGTGCGGATTGCCTCGGTGTAGCCTTAAGTCAGAAGCTTTTTTAAGCAAAGTTGAATAATCCCTAAAATAATCCCAAAAATATGTAATGAAGCATTTTACTGGCTTTGCGCTGGACTACATGTACCCTGGCTTAGTGATGTTTATCCTAAGTTTCAGTGGTTATAATCCCTAACATATTCAGCAGTCTTCCTGTGGAAATAATTATACTGATTATTTTTAATGTAAATGAATAGTTTCACTGTTTATAAAGTAAATGTAAGTTTTACGACACTGACAGATTTATATAAACATTATATAATAATTTAATTTATGCTTAATTCAAAAATTGATCAATAACATTTTATCTGTAACTATTCTCTTACTATTAAATCATTTAGGGTCACTAAAATGATTTAAAAATTCACATAACAACTGGATTATAAATAGTACAGGATGTCTGTTATGGACTTATTGATTGTATCCATATGTACCTTGGTAATATGCATAAAAAGATTACTGATGGTAAACTATTTAGTATCACATTATTATTATTGTTATTATTATTTGGTAGTTGCTAGATATGTAACCAGTATGTAAGTTTAGTTTATTATGTTGGTCTGACTATCTACGTGTTCTCCAACCATCGGTGAATGTCAGTGTTCGTATTGAAATTTGAAATTACCAATTACAACATAAATTGCCAGAATTTTAAGTGAACCTCCTGTTTTTTTTTAATGGTTATTTGTTGTTGTTTATGATATTTTACTGTGTACAAGATTTTCAAATCCATTGTATAATGGAACGTATGATGCCTATATAGTTGAGTCGATGTACCGAATATATAAGTAAAATCTCTACTTATATTTGTAATAAACACATAGAATAACTAATTCAAAGTTATGAAACTGATGATACTTAAATAATGAATGCAATATATTAGTTTTAAAATTCATCAGTGTTATTATATTTTTCAGAAATTAATTAGGTTATTGTATGGGGTAATGACGAACTAAATCGATAAAAAAACTCGTGAGACGGTTTATCTTAAAATACTTAATTATATATATTGAATACACACTACATATTAAGTACCATCGATGTATATGTATATATATGCACTCGAAGTTGAAGTTAAACATTAACACCGTTGAATGCTGGATCAGTGGTCTAGAGGTTAGGCGTTCACGCACGAGACCGATAGATGCTGGGTTCAAGTTTTCATGGAACAGGATCGTGGATGCGTACTGCTGAGGGGTCTCAAACTAGGATGAAACGGCCGTACAATGCTTACAGGTTTTTCATAGTGGTCTAGCTTCACTTAACTCATGAATTAAACTATTGAAAAACGTCTTACTCTCAATTATGTCGATGAAATTAAGTCTAGAATACCAGAACTAGAACGAAATATCTCATTACGCTCACATATATTATTTGATTTGTCAGAAGATCAACGTTCCAATTTCAAAGATTACATTGATATTGTGAGCAAAAATCGTACTGAAGACGTTATATTGAAATTAACAAAAAGTCTAAAACCGACCGAGACCCAAGCTTCTTTTCCTGAATCTCCAGAGAAATTTGTTTTCAATTACTCAAGTATAACATTATCGACTATTCAGCTACAAGCATTATCCCTTGGTCCTAAATTTTGTAGCACTTCCACTAACATTAATGAACTCAACGCGAAAATCCAGTTTGAAGGCCTCATGCGACAGACAAATGACCTTACTCCAGTGTCTAATGAAGATTTTGAGCATTTTAAAACAACTCTTGTGGACTGTTGTAATCAATATGTAAATAAAATACCAACAATTAGCCGATTACTCACAAAAGAACATAAATCTCAATTATCTGATCTGCGGAGAAATCAGGACTTAGTTTTATGCTGCCCAGACAAGGGTGCAGGAATTGTTCTTATGGATCGTATTGACTATGTTACAAAAATATCTTCAATATTATCTGATCCTGTCAAATTCTCTATTGAGAACGTTCAAAAAGACACTACTGAAAAAACTGAACAAATGCTAATTAAAATTTTGAAGAAAATGAAAGATGAGGATATTATCAATCATGACCTCTATGAACACCTCAAACCATCTGGTTCTGTTGTACCAAGACTATATGGACTACCAAAAGTTCATAAGAATAATAACCCACTACGTCCTATACTGGATATGAACAATTCTCCCTATCACTTAATCGCTAAATGGTTAGTTAACATTCTACAACCTGTCAAAAATCATATCAATAAACACAATTCTCTTGATTCCTTTGACTTTGTTGACTCCATTAGAAATATCAATGTATCCGGTAAAAAAATGCTACTGGTTTGAAAAACTTGAAGAAAAAGCTATCGTTAACTTGGAAGTGTAATTATTCAATTTAAACTTAAATGATATCCAAATTAACAACCATTTTCGTGGTAGTAATTGTTCCATCTCAGTATGTGAAAGTTCAATTCTCAATTATAGGCAACGGGTCTTCATATCCTTTCAACAAGAACTTTTAAACTAACTTATTCTAGATAGATAAGTGAATCTATTTACCTCCAGATGATCTGTACTATGTTTAGTGAAATTCGTATATACTCTAGATAAAACGTTGAACCTCATGTCTCACAATGAGTTAAACTAAAAACAAATGGATATAGGACTGTCAATGAAATTCTAACTAGAATGTTCACAACAACTCTTACGTTTCTCTGGAATCCAGAACATTTGTTGTAATTCAAATGTCAGTGTTAATCTGATTGCTTGACTAATTTGAATCTTACAAATTTTATGTTCTGTTTCTGAGTTTTGAACATGACGAATCTTTGTTACCTAGATTACAAATACCTATGTTCAACTTTCAGCAAGAATTTCTCTGGAAAGATATCGTTATGGTAGGGAGTTATTCATTATTTACTATTGATTGAGAGTGAGTGTTCAGTTCCAGTAGATAATGCCACAAAGTGTGCACATGGCTAATACAACCTTGTCAAGAATGTAGCACCAATGTTTTCTCGGCTGTGAGAGGTCTATTGCTCAGATTATCAATTATTATTGGGACAGATATTGAATGAATCAATTTGGTAAAAAGTTTCTGAAAGATAAGCACTGGGGATTCCATTCATGGAACACGACCTCAAATAACGTTAAGTGTTATTAAAAGTCATGGGTTCAGCTGTGAATTTAAAGTAACATCATGTGATACAGGCATCATTGATGGAAGACGACAAAAAACCTGCCTAGACTTGAATTCAGCGGAGACAAGAGTTCTAAAGTCACTTTAAGACATGTTGATATTATGTTTCACAAGTATACATATTTATAGTTACGTCAGTGGAAGAATCTGATAAAATCGCAGTCCAAAGTCAGGATGAGACGGAATTTTTTCATTGAGGTGATATCGAAAATAACAGTAACGCTTATATCAAAATATGGAGCTTAAACCGTTACCAAATGGTATGTATATTTGTTTAATCAACAGAGAGATTTAAAATCACTATAACTGAAATGCAAGAATGAACTATATGTTTAATATTTAGGACGTCTACGATTAACAAGAAGCTAAACCTTGATACATTTTAGTTTTGTATAAGTTTAGTAGAGTAAAAGAATATATCAAGGAACTCCAATTTTTAAATCTATGAGAATACTGTAGCCAATTAATCATAAATTAAATAAGACCTTTGAAATTTCGAAAAATTCTCATATTCTGAATTAGAACAACGTGTATAAGCGAACATTGTTGTTTTCAATTAGATCTTCATCAGGTTTTACTTTCATATACAGTAATATTTATATGCATATACGAAATTATTAAACTAATCAAGGCAGTTTATCAGTCAGTGATAACACTGTAATAGATAGCATAACTGATAGCAAGTAAAAAGTATAGATTGATAGTGTGATGACAAGTGTACTAGTTGTGGTAATAATAACAGTCTTGAATCAGTTTCATAATAGGAAGTAAGTCAATGATTTGAAAAAATGCAGACACTAAATTAACGTTCCTTAAGATTTATAAGAATACGTAATAAAAAGAGTTTAAATAATCAGGAAACGAGGCGTAGATTTGAAGAAAAAGAGGGAGTATCAGGAAAAATAACAAGTATGGAAAATAATAAATATATTCTTTAATTAAGGCTATTTCGGCTAAGGAGGAGACATGGATGTAACAGATTTCTTAAGAATATAAAGACTTGGATTGTTATCTTGAGTCATTATGGTTTCTGCTGTGAAGGCGAAATCGAACCCTAGAAAGAATACGATAAGTCATTCGGAGTGACCTACTTCTGTTTACTACATGACCATGTGCGCTAGAACAGGGCTGGATATTGTTTAGACGACACCCTTTCCGAACCACAAAGGGAGTTGTTCACTAACTCATTGGTTCATTTGTCTAGTTGTGCGCCTAAATAGCTTTCTCCACAGTAGCAGCTGGATTCGTAGATACACATGAATGTAGCAAAACCAGGTAACTTGTCTTTTAGATAAGGAATCACCATAGGTCACTTTGAGAATGAGAGACAGAGGTTAGCTGCATTAGACGTCCTCTTCAATGCACTTGTACTTCGTAATCTTATAATTTAGTGAATGTTATTTCAGTGTCTGCATTTTTCAAATCATTGACTTACTTCCTATTATGAAACTGATTCAAGACTGTTATTATTACCACAACTAGTACACTTGTCATCACACTATCAATCTATACTTTTTACTTGTTATCAGTTATGCTATCTATTACAGTGTTATCACTGACTGATAAACTGCCTTGATTAGTTTAATAATTTCGTATATGCATATAAATATTACTGTATATGAAAGTAAAACCTGATGAAGATCTAATTGAAAACAATAATGTTCGCTTATATATGTTTTTTGGAACCAAAAAAAGAACTAACAAAATCTTTCTATCAGATAATTATTATGATTTGATAAACCCAATAGTTCACCTATTAAAATTATTTATGAAATGTAAGTGAAAAGAAAATATATAGATAAGAAATCCCTATTAAAACCGATTATTTTACACAAAAATGGTTAACTGATATCTTATCTTCAAAAAAAACTGTTGAAATTAGCCAATTACAAATTACAATGATGATTTATTCACTTACGTATTATTAAATTGAATATACAAAGAACAGTACAATTTCTGTATTGATAAGTAAAGAGAATAAAAAATAATAATGATACTTAGAAAAAGAGAACAAGTAATTCACAAATCTAACAATAAAAATGTTAGTTCAACAAGACACAAAATCTACTGCCTTGATAAGATAGATAGATACATGGACAAGCATAGACAATCTATAAGAGTAACACAGATGTAACTCCAAGCAAAACAAATGCTGACCTTTCAATGTATTAAAATTCTCTCTATTTGCTATTGATTTACTTTTATAATACAGGAAGACGATGGAAACAGAAATAAAATAATTTAATATCGAGAGATAATATGAGCAGTATAAACTTGAATAGATGCATAAATATGAAAACCATATACATATATATGATGAATATATTTGATCAAGTGGACACTTCACTATGAATAGATGATGGAGTCGCAGGAACCTCAATTTCGTGTCCGCTTATTACAGCAACCATGTCATGTTGAGAAGCTACAATATAAGTAAATTATAGAATAAATAGGTCAAAACCGGATTATATTATTTATAACATAAAGGTGTAAGATATCTAGGGAGGAGGGTATAAAATGAAACACTAAACAAAATTATAAGATAGAAAAGTGAATAGGTAAATGACAGATCTTAATGATGATTGTCTAAACGAAGAGAACAATAAGTAAATGATAGTCAGTCAGTTGCAACGTAGAAACTGGTATGTGTGTACGTCGGCTCAAACCGCCAAGCCCCACTAGCACAGAGGGATAAAATTGTCAGGTCAAATCCTGGAAGAGTGGTGGTAGTAACCGTATCAATGGTAATAGAAAAGATTGGGCATCGGCGATAAGATTAGAGAGAATATAAATGACATAAAAGACTTATAAGAAATTTAGAAGCTGAGTTTGGGGAGTAAATGATAAACAGATTGAGAAAATCTCAACATGATTAAGATCTTATCAGAATTGATTTATCCACCCTACCTAAAATTAGGAACCTAATCAAAACATTGAGTACTCAGTGGTTCCATTGTCCTCGAAAATTATCTCAAAGAAATTTATCATCAAACACATATAGAGTAGTATCTTTTAGACTTGATGAGTATGTTAAAGTCGAGGAGTTACACATACAGAAATGCTGAAAAGTATACTCTCCCCTTTATAAGTAGTAATATATCTCTCACTGGCACTAGCAGGTTGGGAAAAATAGCCAAATATTTCGTCTAAATCTCCGTTCGATTATATCCAGTATTAGGTAGATGTCAACAGAGACAAAACCAAACAGTATATTTTGGTATTCGAATTTAGTGACAACAATCAATTCACCTGAAAAGGTTGGATGTTGCTAAGACTCTTCTCTATTCAGTTCAACTTCCCTACTCCCATTTTAAAGTTACTCGATATTACTATTATATCTTTACAATTGACCTGTTAAAGTATTTTTGATGTCTGTTGATTAAACTTATTTTGATGTTTTTTAATCTAAAGTCATTAGTTGAATAATGAGAAACTATTGTTTCACTTTTCCTTTGATTCCTTATAGAACTATTCACTAAAATAGCACACACGTCACCATACGCTGGGAACCAGGACAAAAGGTTCGTCTTTCTCTCTTGAGATTGTTAATATCATACCTCATTTGAAAGCGCACGAGAACTAGTTAAAGACTCTCAGATACCATTCTATTTCAGTTGTGAGTAATTCAGTTATCTAATACCTTGTGATGTTTAAGCCATAAATACTTAAGTAAAATTGATATACAGTCGTTGATTAATCAGGAATTTAATCGAAATTATCATCAGACTATCATTGTTAAAAATTAGGGGTAATTGACCTAAGAGCATGATTCAAATGAAGTTGAGTTTGGTGAGCTCGTTGATTTTATCGTGAAACTTTCATTGACTTTTAAGGCACAATTAACACTCAATCTAAACAGAACTGAGGTATTACAATTGGCGAAGAGTTTAGTCAGTTGACAGTGAATTTGACAGACAGTTGGCAATAATTATATTGGTTGTCTAGGCATTAATGTTGATTATCTTCCACTCTTGACATGATTCTTAACCTTAAAATTGTTAGTGATTTTTCTAATTCGGTGTATTTTAATGTATGTTTGTTGGTTAGTCTGGATAAATTTCAATATAGTATCAGTTTCGAGAGGTATTCGACATCTGGTCACATACTATGTAAGAAAACATATGCATTGTTAGTTGAATTCCATTAAACTGTTGTTATTCCTAATAGAAAACCATAGTCAGTATAGTTGAAAATCAGTATGATTGTTCCAAATATATCTACCATTTTATTTTCTTCAGAATCGCGGACAAATTAATACCTCTTCTGCTTCTTTTATTCCATTTTGCCACTAATTTTTCTCAATTTACTATTTTTATTGATATTATTGTTTTTAACCATCTTTTTCCTTTTAACTATGCCTAACATAAACAAACTGTGGTAATTTGAACTGACAAACATTTGTTTCCAATATGTTATCTCAATCAGTTGAGTTGTCTGTTTTAATCGCTGAAAAATTATTTGCTGGAGATTGTATGTGCTTACA